CCAGAAATAAATAGATTTGAACAAAAAATATAGCATTGTAAATTCAGTTAAATGAGTGGGTATTTTGGTATTAAAATCCATTCTTATCTACTCAAAAAATTTGTGATGCTTGCCAAATGTGCCTATTTACTACAAAGATAATTCTTCAGAAGAAATGTCAATTTCATTTATATTTCGTTGACTGCATTATTTGTAAATCAATGCTTGTGAAAAACCGGATATATGACTGTTTGGTTAATGGAAGCAACGTTCTGTGCAGGCATTGTGAAATTAGCTTCAGAAGAAGGCATTAGCAACGCATTATTTCCTTTTACTGCATTCAAAAAATTCTCCTATCTTAATGTATCCTGACAAATAGTTGCATTATTTTTAAAATGGCACCAAAGTTATGTTCAACACCGCCGGACAGATTTGCATATTCAGTAAATGCCTGAAAAATAACCCCAAAAAACAAACCTTTATATCAGTCTTTGTGTAACATAAAATTTGAATTTCTAAATAGTTGCAAAAAGATGTTGTATGACCAGAAAGTGCTATAATTTGTGTATTGCAGACACATTATTTGTATGTAAAGTTAAAGGCGAATAAAACAAACGTTGATCATAAATAAAGTGATCTCTGATTGCGAGATTCGATCTCATATCTTTTCTTGTAACAGGAAAGTTAACTGATTCAGCTGTTTTAATTGATTGAGCATAGTTTTACGGGTGGTGCCAAAAAGAAATGAAACATTTAAAGAGACGTAACTTTGTTCAACAAGAAAAACATTCAATGTTCAATCAGTTCTGATCAATGAAGCTTTATCTTTCTTAGTAGATTACGTTGGTAATCACACGCATGCATGCACGCACACACTGCATACACAAACACACACACACACATATATATATTTATATATATATTTTTAGCTATAGATATATTGTTTTTGCTGTATTCACTGTTAATATCTTCTTCTCACAGAATCTGCATTTTGGGCTAACAATTTTTCTGTATTCTTGATAATTTCTAGTTAGCAAGCATTGGTCCTGTGCAGCAAGAATAAAACCTTCGGTTTTACCTTTTAACCTTGCACTACCACTGATGGGTATGGGGTTTGTCTAGATCAGCTTGTTTGGTACGGGAAGTGTATTGACCGTAAAGCGGTTTATCTTGCCATTGTTTCTGTATCTAGTCGGTTGCATTTGCTTTTACTTTTTTATGTATTTTGCAGCTTCAGTCGATGTATTATGCTTTACTTGTATTATTTTACCTATTTGAAGCTTCATTTTAGATTTATTGGCTTCCTTTATTATTCAATAAAGTCACTTACTACTTTCATGTTCTTTGACGTATATCATCATCCAGTCTTCTGTAGTTCCTAGGTATCTTTGAAAGCCAATTTTTGTAGTTTTCTAAGACAGTTCTAGCTGAAGTTCTAGCTAATTCTCTACTTTTTCGAATCTGGGCCCATTTAGATGATCAACATTAGCCTTGAGATGATGAATACGGTGGCAGATGAGAATCTTTCTCGTTTTGGAATCCATTCGCTTAATGTCAGCTATGGTCCAGTTAAGGATGTTGAAACTATTCAAAATAGAGAGAGCCACGGTGTTTATGGTTGATATTCTGTTTGTCGAATTCAGCTCAGTATTCAGTACGAGACGTAGACATGATTATTACTCGTTTCTTACCATCTCCTGAAAGATTGCCAGAAATATTTTTTTCACCAATCTTCAGCACCCTCCCCAGTATTCCTGTCGATCCTTGCACTAATACATTTTAAGCAATCTAAAACTGTCCTTGAATTAACATTTCAACAAGTATAACAACTAAGATTTTGAGAAGGGTTCGCTAATTATCACTTGAACTATTTTACCCCACCCGTTTCACAGCTTCTTTAGTTGCCAGGCGAAGAGCAATCGTATTTTGCTTTAGGTTTCTCTTCTATCAACGAGTTGTCGTCTGGAAGGTCTGTTAGATCTGTTATCTGAAAGGTTTCTCTTATATCACCGAGTTGTCATCTGGAAGAGTTAGTTCTGTTATCTGGAAGGTTTCTCTTATATTACAGAGTTGTCATCTGGAAGAGTTAGGTCTGTTATCTGGAAGGTTTCTCTTATATCATCCAGCTGTAATCTGGAAGGGTGAGGTCTGTTATCTGGAAGATTTTCTCTTAAATCACCGAGTTGTCGTCTGGAAGTGTTAGGTCTGCCATCTGGAAGTGTTAGGGCTGTTATCTGGAAGGTTTCTCTTATATCACCGAGTTGTCGTCTGGAAGTGTTAGGTCTGCCATCTGAAAGAGTTAGGTCTGTTATCTGCAAGGTTTCCTTTTATTTTCTGGTAGTCTTCCTAGCGTTTTCTTAATTTATTATATTGCCATACAAGTGTTTTATATATTGATTTATTTTTTCATTAGTTCCTTTATCTGTTTCATACATTTACAAAAAAACATTAGTCTAACTGTTGTGGTCATTGCTGTTTTTTTTAAAAAAACAATAAAGATTTTAAAAGACATTGTTCATTGAAAGAATTCGATTGGTGACTGAGTCTCCTCAATACTCTAGTATTCACTTTACGACATTAGCAGTTTTCAGCCGCGATGTTGTTTGTCTGGTTCTAGCGCTTCCACGATTTCTAGATCTTCCAAGCTTTTCCCGTCCCCTAACACTATTGATGACCTTCAACTTCCTGTACCAACAACTTACTAAGTTCCCTCTTAAGTTCAACATACTCATATAGTTTTACATTTTTAACCAAGCCAATTCTTAGACTAAAAGAACGGAGAAATTCACTGTTTTCTGTTTTTGTTTCATCGTTTAGGTTCGCTTTTCTAGTTTCGGTTGATTTATCGGTATTGTTGCAAAATCCAAAAAGAGCACAGGGATTAAAATTCTCAATATTCTACGACTCTTTTCGGTTTTCTGTTATCAATGACGTCATCATCTCGGTGGTTCTCTTTCCGTAAATTCCAGTTCTTCCAATATTTTTTCAGATGTTCAAGAACGTTTCCAACATTTCAGTAACGACTCACACAAATGTCATCTTTAATTTCAACAATATCTTTAGTGATCTTGCTATACCGAAATATTTATCTATCTTTTCAATTATTTTCATAAGAATTCTGTAGTCTAGTGGAACAATGAAACTTACTGACTGACATGTTTTCTTTTTTCTTTCTTTTATAAATGCCAAATACAGTATTCTACAGTGAATCGAGAAATCTGTGTGAATCTGAGAATACGTTTTTTATGTTTCATTCTCTAAGAAAGTTTCTGGACTGTGCATGTACTTGTGTTTTGGGATCTCAGAATATAATTGATTGCACAGTTCTCTCCAGATCGCAATTCCAGCCCAATCATGTAAATCCTACGTCCGGTGTTTATGTGGTTAACCGATTTCTTTTTTATTTGTAGATATTGTAAAGTTTGTGTTTTTCTTGTGTTCTACCTTGATATTCATATAGCTATGTCATTCTTTTTGGTCGCAGAGGAATTTCTAGTTAATTCTTAAGGATCCCTCTACGTAGCAAGTTCCATAGAGATATATCTACACGCCTCTTCTCTTCTTAAATGTCAGTATAATTGTGATTCTCACTATTTTTCACTTCTCATGTTTGGGTTTCTTCCTGTTTTATTTGTTCATTCCACAAATTTACAGGTTGTTATGGAATTTTTCGAAGCTCTGTTTTGTGTATTCTTTGAATTCTTTGATTGCAGACAGCCTCTTCTTTGCCATCTTTTCTTTTAACATACACCTATTCACATCATCTTTCGGCTGTCGCGCCTTAGGTATCGTCGTCAGTTTTATTTTGTGTACGCCATTAAGTTCGCCTGTTTTCCGTTTCAAGAAAAATGTGGAGACCGACAAAATGGAAAATTCCTACGTATTTATCCCTTTAATGTTCTCCCATAAAATTTTTCTGTCGAGTATTTTCTTGTTCTTCTGGGATAATTTTTTGTTTATTTTGTGCTTCATCTGTTTTTGTTTCAGAGAAGCTTAGATATTGGAACCATCTGTGTCGTTGAGCGCCCTCAAGAATTTAATGCGGGAGAATTAAATTAATTCTGTTGTGGCACTTTTCCACTTGTACATCTTGAAGGCGGAAGATGATCGATTTTATTCTTTCATTTTTGTACTTCAATATGTTTTTAACAATGTCATGAGATATTTGAAATTCGTCTCGTTGTGAGTTTGAAACATTGATTCCTTTTCTTAATATATAATTCACTGATAACATCATGGCGGCAAATATTAATGGAGACAGTGTGATTCTTTGATGATACCTTTAAGGGTTTTGACGCCTTTCGTAGTTTAATTTTCTTTATATCACACACACACATACACAGACACACACAAACACACACGCATATATATATATATATCATAATTTTCTTTATGTACGATCATCCTCAGACATTCTGTTATTTATGGTAGTGATATAATTTCGGAAAGTTTCTTGTAGTTTGAACATGACACGTTTAAATCCTTCTTTGTTAGATTACCACATTTTACTGTGCCTTATTTCATATATAGTAAATCATTTTCTTCTTTGGCTCCCTTTCAAGATCATTTCTTTTCTTAGAGAGCATGTTATCAACATTCGAACGAATAATCTGACGAATACACATGGATATCCATATCTTAGCAAATTGGGTTGGTATTCTCCAAATCAATTCTATGCTTGTAATTATTTCGGGGTCGCATGGAACCGTTCACTTTTTAGGATTTTTATAAGAATATTTTTTTCCGTTTGTCACCAATTCATGTGTTGTTTTCGTTTTAAAAGCGTTAGTTTCTGGTAGTCACTTATGAACATGCATGACTTCTTTTAACCACAGATCCCATGGAGTTTTTTAAGTGGTAATATCTTTAAGGCTACATTCATGGTTGCTCAGTTTAAACCGATCTTCAGTCGACCATTTTTCAGCCAATATGGACATTTTATTTCATTTGCTCTTTTTTTTTGCCCACAGCTAACATCAGAATAGCTTTGTTTCCTTACCAACCGGTTGCTCCTTTTGTCCATGTCTTTTTTTCCATATGACGTGTTGAGAAAATATTGTTTACGTCTGTATTAAAGGAATCTGTGTCTCTATTAATTGGGTTGATTTTTAGCACAACCCTTTCTCTTTGTCCTTTTCTTCCCTTTTTTTCTTCTTTTTCGTTCCTCTCTTCCCTTCTTTTTACCTTAATCTTTTCTTTTCAATATTCCTTTCACTTTTCATTTATCTTTTCCTTCCTCTTTTCCTTTCTCCTCTTTCCCTTTCTCTTTTCCTTCCTCTTTTCCTTTCTCTGTCCTTCCACTTTTGTCTTTCTCTTTTACTTCCTATTTTTTTCACTTTTCCTTTTTTTCCTTCCTCTTTTCTTTTCTCTTTTCCTTTTCTTTCCCTTTCCATTTTCTTTTAGCTTTTCCTTTATTGTTTCCGTCTTCTTTTCATTTTCCTTTTCCTTCCACTTTTGCTTTTCTTTTCCTTTCACTTTTCGTTTCCCTTTTCTTTATCTTCCTGTTTTCATTTCTCTACTTCTTCTTCTTCTTACTTTTTTCCTTTCAATTTTCCTTCCTCTTTTACTTTCTTTTTCTCTCTCTCATTTCCTTTCATTTCCATTTTCATTTATCTATTCCATGTTCTTTTCCTTTTTCTTTTCTTTTTCCATTTCTCTTTTCTTTCCTCTTCTCCTTTCTATTGTCCTTTCTCTTTCCTTCCTCTTTTCCTTTCATTTTTTCTTCCTCTTTTGCTTCCTTTTTTCTTTTTCTTTTTTCCTCTTCTCTTTTCTCATTTCTTTTTTCTTTTACTTCTTCTTTTCTTTTCACTTTTGCTTCCTCTTTTCCTTCTTCTTTATCTTCCTCTTCATTTTTTCCTTTCTCTTTTCTTTTCTCTTTTCTTTTCTCTTTTCCTTACACTTTTCCTTTCTCTTTTCCTTCCACTTTTACTTTATCTTTTCCTTTTCCTTTTTATTAATAAGAATATTTGCTCCAGTACAGACACAAGAGATGGTCCTGTTAAGTATTATTGGAATATCTTGCAAAAGTTATTTTCTCAGTGTTATTTAGCAACTGATTACCTGCTCAATATAAATATGTCTTTTGAGCTCCAATTTTAGTGGGTCATTATTTGATTTTAGTGGAGGATTCTTTCATTTTACTTATTATGATGAGCAGAGCGCTGGATTTGGTGTAGGAAATGTTTTGACGACAAAACTAGAGATTTGTTGCTACTCTTATGGCACCAAGATAGTGTGATTCTCTTGGGGATTGAGATTACCGAGATTGTACTCCTCACATTACACTGACAGAATTAATTAATGGTGTGAAGTTAAAATCTCTGATACTCTTTAAATGTCTACACCGCAGGGTAATTGAATTTTGCTTGACAGTGAGTGTCTTTTGAGGTTGGCCGGATCTAAAGCCAGTCTATATGTTGAATGCGTCCTTTATTAAAACTCGCGAATGGACATTCCGGTAGATATATATTGACGTTGGTTTTAAAAAGAAAGCAGAGATGTCGACTCAAGCACAAGTATTCACGACATAAAGCGTTTAATGTTATAAGACATTGTTTGGAAATATTTTTCCATTCTAGAGTAAATTTAAATCACCATCACTAAATCTACGAATATTCTAAGCACCCATGCTAAAATACATTCAATAGATCACCATCTTTGTACTGACAAATTACAAAATCTAGAATCACTCTCTCAATTCGTTCTCTCAATGTTCAAAACTCTTATTGTCCAAACTTTATTCATCTAAGCCGTCTTGTAGAAGATGGCTGACTTTTCCCATAGACATAATGTCGCTATGACAAATATTTAGATGAACACCACTCTTCATTTCTACAAATTCAGACCTTTACAGCTAGAACAAAGCATTCTACATCAACCGATTCTAATTTCTTCCGTATTCTACTCGTAAGAGGGAATACACATTCAGACAAGAGGACTACTATATTTTGAAGACTACAATCTTAACACAAGTCTTCAGTCTTTATTTATCCTACTTTCTTCATAATCCTTACTCTTCCCTCTACGTTCATCTACTTCTACTTACATTCAGTAACTCTCTACCAGGAATGGCTCTTGAGTCTTGCATTGAGTGAAATTCTAATAAAGCCACTAGGACGTAAGAGGTTACTGAGTGTTTGAGATTATGTAAGAGAACTTCTGTTAAGAAAAGAGGACAATAAAAGAATACGAATCAAGAAGGCAGAAGATAACGACTGACAGTGCATTAAATTTTTGAAGATCAAACTTGACTTGAAAGCAAGAAACAGGAGGTGAGCTCTACAAGTGCAACAGAAGAAACTGTTATCGTAGAACTTACGGTTATATCTAGCGAATATCTCGAATCTTATTTTTGCACATTTATCTAATCCGAAATCCAAACTGATGTCATCACTGAAATATTTTACATCATTGAGGATACTCTTCAACTTATTGTCGCCTTTGGCAAATAGTTTGATATCAACCATGTAAAATAGGTGATTCTTTTTTAATTTATATCCATAGTTATTCCTGTTTATTTCATGTGAACGGGCGATTAAAGAAAGAGGAGAACAGACGATAGGGAGTCTCCTTGAAAGATACCTCGTCGGATATTCAAACAATTGAAAGTAGCAGTACCTTTAGTGTGATTTAGGTATAATGTGGTTTTCCACAATTTCATATTATATTTAAGGAAATTTACTATCGCCAAGGAGACTATAGATTTCCAAACTTTAAGGATCAAAGACTGTAGAACAATATCAAAGACTTTACAATAATCTATCAAAGCTATGCTGAAATTTCTCCGTTTTTCCTGCAATTATCTAGGATTATTTTATTTATTAGTACTTATCATTACAACCATATGAACCTTTTCGACATCCCTTCTGTTTCAGGATAAGAATGTTGCTTCCATCGAGAACAGAATAAGTACAGTTCGTTAGAATAGACGTGATCAATTTATATGTGGTGTTATTAACAGGTAATTTTTGGGGTCATCTGTTTTACCCGTTTTTGCTTAAATATCTAATGCAATTGATTGTGTAGTTTCACTTTTTTTTCCCTCACGAAGATTTTTCTTCAAATAATTAGGAAGTATTTTATTCTTCAAAAGGTGTAAAAAAATGTCAGATGTAGTAGGATTTTCAAAGTTTTCAGCAAACTTTTTACACCTGACACTTCTTAGATTCTGGTATATATATATATATATATATATATATATATATATATACGTTCTTAGATTCTGGTGTATATATATATATATATATATATATATATATATATATATATATATATGTAAAAGTGAACATTGAAGTCAAACACAGAGGCGACAGGCTGTTTCATGCTAGAAGCAATCGTCAGGCCCTGAATATATATTAAATAGACAGGACTTGAGTTATCATAATCTAAGAAAATTGCTTTTTTCACATTTAGTGTCTAATATCTTTCTATTTTGTATGTTGGCAAAACAAATTGTGTGGCCTGACGATTGCGTCTAGCATGAAACAGCCTGTCGCCTCTGGAGCGTTGACTTCAATGTTCATTTTATATTTATATTTACATACGCTCTATCTCTGATTTTCAGCACTTTATTCCATAAATATAGCACACCTTAAAACTATATTTCTTCATATATATATATATATATATATATATATATATATATATATATATATATAAATAGATAAGGACTTGACTTGTTTTTTTTTCACATTTAGTGCCTAATTTCTTTCTATTTTGTATGTAGTCATAACAAATTGTGCAAAATATATGCATTGCTCCTCACCCAAGAAGAGGCCCGCTACAAACATCCCAAAATCATCGACGTAAGTAAAATGACAGATGATGGGGAAAAGGGTTGGAAGAAAGCAGCATCCCTCTTCCTGATAAATAGCGAAGAAAGAGGATCAGTTGCATATGTGGAATAACTAAAAGATGAGATAAAACATGCGAGCCCCAGAAAGGAAGAAAAATAAAAAACTTTCTATATTGAGGAAAAAACTGAAGACACAGAATGTCAAGAGTACGACAGTGGAGGGAACCGACTCTCTCAGCAATATATCTACCCCGGAAGGTAATACATTTTCCTCATTGCGACCATCTTCTTAAAAAAAAAAATGAAAGACCATTGTGCCTCCCGTCCTGCTTTGCCCACTCTCAACCCTCGCCTGCAAGAAAACCTCCTTTCAAACCACTCACTCCACTGCCCTTACCCAACTCCCATCGGCACCGCCACCTTCGCCTTCATCGCCACCATCTCCACTAGTAGCAAGCCCGAGACCGCGGGGCTTCTCTTCGGAAAGATGATCTCTCACAAAAAAAAAAAAAAAAAAGAAACAAAACAAAACAAAAAAACTCTAAAAAACAACGGACTACAAGTCGAAATATTATACCGGAGAGGACACGTGCCGCCTGAAGCCGGACATATTCGAAGAATTTGCAGCAGCAACACCTGAAAGATCTGAAGGTTCTTATAATCTTGAAACAAATCGGGTGAAAAAGCGTGGAGACCCAAAAGACTTTCTGCTCGCTCAGGGGCTCTTAACGTTTGTTCGAGTAAGCGACCGGACACGGCAAATCTGGTCAATGCTGGTGGGTGTAATTCAGCAATAGAAGCAACTCCACTGTCTTTGGTGGAAAATGTGATGGTGACAAAATTGAAAGAGTTTTGTTCTGCCCGGTATAGAGCAGTCAAACTATTTAGTTATAATGTGTGGCATCCATCTGTCTCGAAATACCATGAAGATGGCGCCCTGTACAGGCCCACGTGGGAGTGACAGTCTCGCATGAGTTGCTAGAACGAAGTTGAATCTGGATTTGTCCTCAGAGTTTACTCTCGAAGCCTTTCACATGATTGGGTATAGCCGCAAGCAAGCTGGGATTTAAAATCAGAGCTTTTCTTCTGTTTGACGGGCTTCCCGTTCAGGCTGTCAAGTCCCATCTACCCGATGTGTGTGTATATATATATATATATATATATACGCATAAACACACGCATATATACATACTATACTTTGGATGATGGAGTAAACAGTTCGTTATTTAATAATAATAATAATAATTATTATTATTATTACTTTAAATGATAATAGAAAAAAATAAATAACAAAACGATAAAAGTATAAAATTATTATCAAATAAATGAGAACATTTTTTTTATTTTCGTGGTTAAAACTATTTGAAAGATAAATAATAAAAGAAATTGACTGTTTTGAACCAACAATAAAACTAGTAAACAAAGCAAAATAACATTAGGGCTCGAAATGCTTTTCCTACAAATTTCAAAATACATCCTCGTTCATTAAAAAATGTTACGGTACAATCAATAAATAAGAAAAGGACAAAATAATAAGATTAAAGGCAAATAAAGGATAGGGAAAGAAATCGACGATACTAAACCAATAGTCAAAAACTAGTCAATAGACTAAAACAAACCTTTCGCCTCGAAAGGCTTTATTATTATATTATGATTATTTTTGTATAAATATTATTACCATTATTTTTTTTATTGCTATCATGATTATTATAATCCTTTTATTTTTTTTATTTGAATTTTCATCTGTAAAATACCCCGTGATTCTTGTTGAACATAAATCGATAACCTATCTACCGAATCTCCAAGAACTGCTGCTCAAGTAAACAATGTATTTAATGGCAAAAGGACGCTTTCTTACGCATAATTATTAGAGCTTCGTAGATTTCTAATAGATATGCAATAGTAAAGATATTTTCAACTTGGCTAAATAGTAAGCCAGGATGAAATTCCAATAATATTCGATGTACCAACAAACAATTATCATTTAATATTTCATGCTGAAATTGTTGGGCAGCCTTACATAATATTCTTGGATTTGCAATGAAATACAGCAGATTGAATTGTTTTTCGGATTCTTTTAAATTTCGTTATTACTCGTGGTGATCTCATCATTGATGTACTCATAGAGCAATATCCACCTTCAGGGATTGTGGCTGTGAGGAGACAAAGAAATATATACAGGATTTGTGGAGACTTGTTGTTGCTTGATCTCTAGCGATAACCATTAGATATTTAGTTTAAACACTAAACGCAGGAAATCTAATAAGAATTATAAGACACACAACCGTAAAAATGTAATAATATTCGATAAATAAATAAACAGTTATCGTTAAAACGACGAGAGAGGAAAAAAATGAAACATGAAGATGAAAAAAGCTATAATTAAAACAAGAATGCAGTGATGAAACATGCTTTCGAAATGCCATTCGACCGAAACGATAAGAACGGAAGGAAAAGAAAAAAAGAAGAAAAATCAAACGGACGTCATTTGTAACAAAGACAAACACGAAGAAGTTGCTCTCTTGGGGTGACTGTATGCAGAAGAAGACTTTCTATTGTGTGATTGCAAATATGAGGAAATACAACCTGAAAATGCGTCATACAAAAGAATTGGCAGACAAGTTTTCTGTAAAACACTTAGATTCGCATTGGAACGTAAAGAAACCTTCGAAGCAAAACAATGAGAAAATAACTGCGTTTAGAAACACCAATAATGATAAATGGCTAAGTCTTGCTTTGTTTTATTTCTTTGTCGCTATTGCTGAGCGAATAATGTAACTTTTATGGGGAGTAAGAATAATAGAAAAGATAGTTCCAACAACTAGTCCCAAGAGGGAAATATGCAACGCAAAAGAATAAAAACAGCAAAACTTATTATGATGATTATGATCATGAGGATGATGGAAAGAGTTGAGATTGTATGAAATACAAGAAGATCCATAAAAATCTTTTACCATTTAAAGATGAAATAAATAATTCTGCCAACTTATATAATTTGCTTTCATGAATGTCTGTTTCTACGCACATTATCAAAAATATCGCCCAATAAAAACCATTAGCATTCTGTGAAGTAGTGTGTCATGTGATAAGAAACGTCTAATTATTTTTTCGGGTGGATCCACAATTTTGTTTCAAATAATAATTATTTAATTTATAATCTGTATCATATCTATAATCTGACATTCATTCAGTTTTTTTTCTTAAAAATGACATTGTCGGGACAAGGCTCCCTCTGAGTAATTTCCGGTTCTTTTAACGAAGGTGAATTAATAAGTGTTTCGCGAATTGAGGAAAAAAAGCTGATATTTCACAGAACCTAGATGTAGTTTTCAAAACATTCACTTCCTTCTAAATATAAATATGTGTGCGTGTGTGAATCTATGTGGTGTCTTTCATACAGTCTCATGTTTCTTAATCCAATCATCATATCATGATTAAGCGTTTTATTTTTCTAGGCAAAGAACTGTACGAGATACTTTTATCGGTCTCCAAGTAATATAATTTTTTTACGAAATGTTCGATGATAAGATAGGCAATAATTTTGAAAGAAGTTACAACTATATTCTGATAATATTTAGCGATGAAAACAAGACATAATCTTTAGGTATGCTAATATGTACATATATATTAAAACCTATGATTTTTTTGCGATATATGAATGCACATTAGTGTTAACATAAAAAAAACCCTGAAATCCTAAAAAAAATACCGGTATCGCCTTAAAAATGTGTACCTCCCCACTGCATTGAATAACGAGATCTAAACAGGAATTTTTTATTCATGCAGTTGAAAAGGTATCTAGAGAGGTCTGCCACATGTCCTATGGAGACCATATATGGCGGACAAGGGGCCAGTACAATACTTGGAACACATTTCGCTGCACTTGCATATGATTCGGGTTTATCCTCTCTTTCTGTAACAAAACATCAACGTCAGGAATAAAAAGAATGAAGATGCGATGTAGTATGTTTCACTTTTAGTTTTTGTTCCATCATAACACGTTACACTACAGAGGCAGCAATAGTTTAGACCACACCCACTGATTGACTGGATCAAAGGCTTATGAGGGCACCTCCAACAGGAACTTTGCCATATTCCCAAAGGAAACACGATTCGAATAAACGGATGACAAAGTTCCAGTCTGCAATGTCGATGTTCTCTTGTCCAGACGCAATAATGAATGATAATCTTAATAGTTGATGACTAAAAGACCTCATAGAATGTAATTGACGCTGTTACCCGATGGGTTGAGAAATACCATCATTGTAGTGGAATATTGCATGAGTTAATGCAATATTCCATTTCGGTAGTTGGATAAGTCGTTGCCTACTACCCCATTTGAGCCTTACCTGTAGCTAATCGCAGTCTTTGAATGTCGCTGATGTCTTTCCAGATATCTGCCCATTCCTGTTATACTCTTGCCACCTATGGATCATCGAGGGCAGTTTCAAAGATCAAATCTAAAGATCTGTTAACATACCATGGCTACCGTATTACATTTCATATTTTGGTCAATTACTATGTGCCTATATGGAAGCATTCAGTTTTCTTTGTTAGTTCTCAACTATTGGACCTTCATGCGTCGGTGGATATCTGCTTTTAACAGGTATCGTATCGCTGGTTCTTATGTATTTGCTCTATATACTTATTTGAGAAATACATTTAGTAAGATTGTTTCTACATTGATATTTTGATGACGATTTGTTGTTTCTACCTGCATTTGTAGTCAATTTTTAGCATTTATGGCGATAGTATTTTGAGTCATTGATAAAGAATTGTCTATTAACACTGTTTACATTGTTCGGACTTTTATCTTCATCTTTGTTATCATATTCTCAACGTTTAGGCCGTTATACGCTCCAGCCTTCACCAGGATTTGTCTATATTTCTGAGATGAAGTATTGTAACAATTTACACTATTTACATTATTCGGACTGTTGTCCTGATTTTTCTTGTTCTATTCACGACGTTTCGGCCGTTGTACGCTCTGCTTTTCTTCAGGTGATTGTAATTTCTAACCGAACCCTTCATTTCGTTCCCCGGGGTATATCTTAGTTTCAATTTTTAGTTATTTACTTTTTAGTAACTCAACTCTCCAAGTTTTTGTTCAACTCTGCTGTGGCCAGATATTGAACTCACAATTAACCTGAAGGTGGCCGAAACGTCGTGAATATTACAATAAAGACGAGAACAACAGCCTGAACAATGTAAATAGTGTAAATAGTTAAAATACCTCATTTCAGAAATATAGATGAGGAATTCTCTTTATGTCTGTTCCTCTGTGTGTCTGTGTGTGTGTCCATTCCTTGAATAGAAAAGAGATTGTTCAACTAAGGAAAGTTTTTCCGCCAAAAAAGAATCTGATGTGTAAAGACTCATTTTGCACGACCGACAAAAGAGCGGTCGAACCTCATACATAAACCAGATGGGTAATCACTTACCCACATGCAATTTCGTATCAAGCAGTGTTCCTTGCTCATATTTGCAAGAAGCAAAAACTTATCTGCAAGTTTTAACTCAATAAAGAACGCCATCTTTCTTTATCCTAACCGCCATTTGCGAAGACAGCGATCTTTGACTCCGTTGCGAATGACAGCCAATAAATTTAGTCGGGTGGCTTTCCTAGGGTAGCAATTGGGCGAGGGTCTGGGTAGTGGTCGAATGCCGCACATTTTGCTTAAACAGATTGGATGGTGCCATGAGAAAAAGGGTAGTAAGTCGCATGTGGGTCAGCAAAAAGAAATGCCTGTGAACACTGGACATGATTAGTGAGACATGTTAATGTAAGGAAACTTACAGAATCGATATCCTGAGTCCCTGATTGCCAGTGACTGTACTGAAAGTAAGGTCGATTGAAGTCGCTAATAATTCAATCAGGGCATTTTAGAAATATGTGGTGTGAGGGATTACTAAGATTTTACCAATGGTATGGGTTTCTTTAAGAACCACATACACATATTATTGCGAAAGGTCTTTACCCTAAAGGAATTTGATATATATATATATCTATCTCTCTCTCTCTCTATATATATATATATATATATATATATATATATATATATATATATATATATATATATATATATATATATAAAATCTTTACCTTAGCAGAAAATATCTTTTGCAATAACACTCTATACTCTCTATATGACACTCTTTAAAGAAAATGTGTAATTCTCGTATGATAAAACCCTTTCGAAATGATGTATAGAGGGTTTTATCAAAAGGTTCCCGGACTAGTTCTATAGCAGAGAGAAAGAGAGAGCTAGCAGTGACCTTCATTTTTCAGTAGGTCGAGTGACACTGCTGTATTCACATTGCAAGTTGTGAAATTTGTTTTTTGTGCTCATGTGGGTGCTGTAGCCTGCGATTTTGTCATGAACATGAAGCTGGAACAAAGGACTCATGTGACATTTTGCGTTGAACTTGGAAAATCTGATGCACGGACATTGAGCCTGCTTTGGCAAGCTTACAGTGACGAGGCAATCGGTCGTAGGCAATGACCCTGGTAGATGACGATTCATCTGGAAGGCCTGTCACGAGCGTCACCCCGGGAAATGTGGAGAAAATTAATTATCTTGTGCATGAGGTTGTCCGAGGGAAATTACTGATATTGGTGATGTAGTTGGTCTGTCACATGTGTCTGTACGGGCCACCGTAACGTCTGAATTAGACGTCTGAATTAGACGTCTGAATTAGACATGCGGCGTGTCGCTGTCAAGTATGTCCCCCGCTTGCTTACCATTGAGCAGGAAAAAAAAAAAAAAAACATCGCATCGAAGTCTGTCAAGATGTCCTCCAGCGCGCCGTTGATGATCCATCCTTCATGTCGAGGATCATCCCCGGTGACGAGAGTTAGATTTACAGATGCGAGCCTGAGGCGAAGCCACTGTCGAGTAATAGCCCTTTATCTACATGACTGAAGAAGAAACGACAGGGCCGCAGCTTAATCAAGAGAATGTTCATCGTTTTTTTTTCACATCCACATATTGTATATTATGAATTCGTCTCCCAGGGTCTGACCGTCATAAAAGCGAAAGCGACTGGATCTGTGGAGCCTTTACTCGTGAGTAAAAAACAACATTAAATCCCTTCCGCGCCACACTATTCGGCAGATTTACCACCTGCGGACTTCCATCCCTTCTCTATTATGAAACTACTGTTTTAACACCAATTCGCTTACAGAAAACGCTTTCCAAACCGGATTCCAAAAGTGGCAGGAAAACTGAGATTGATGTATTGCTGTGCAATGAGACTATTTTGAAGGATATGATGTTAAAACTTGAGTAAATAAATATTGTATTTTTTAAACATAAATAGTCCTGGAATTAGTATAGAGCTTCCTAGATGAATCATCTTCGCTAATTCATGAAGCATATTATGAGAGTGTGTGGATTGGTTCTGAAAACGTAAACCATTCACTCACTGACACGACATTCCTAGGAAGGTACGATCATCGTTAATGAGAATTGATGTACATATTCATTGATCGAGATATGCAAATTCCTCGAATAATTATAATTCTTTGTGTAGGCTTTTTTCAAAGGTTCATTTTTGTGTGATGTATTTTCATTTTTCTTTCTGTTTTATAAAAATAATAGGCAATATTTCAGGGTTGAGGCAGATGTTAGTTAGTTTTAAACAGTCGGAGCTAGGAAATTGTCCAGATAGGATACAGGACGTAATTGATTTAAGAATGAGAATATTATACACATGCGAAATAAATGAAGCGTTCCGTAAAATATTGTCGGAGGTTGATTAAGCACAAACGGCACCTTATGAAGACCGGGAAGTAGATCGGCCGATACTATGTGATAAAGATGAGAACGATTAAGAAAATATTTCCTAAAAATAAATATATAATTCTGCTAAAATATTCAGAAAGGGAGAAAAACTTTGGAAACCGTAAGATTTGAATTTTTTTTATGTGCATTCGTGATTCAACCATATTCCTGAACACACGAATGACCTGAGCTGCTATTTTCAAAGGTAAATGAATTAACGATTGAACAGATAAATATCTATATTCTTCAGGAATTTTGTAAAAATCAATGTTCGCTGCATAATCTCATTTAGGACAAGAGCGAAAGAAAGGTGCTTTTGTAGAATTTTTGTAGAATGTGGGTGGCTTGACTTTTAGTTGCACAGGATCATGAATCGGTGTGTTTGAATTTCTGCTGAGTCTGTAGATACTTACTCAGTAGTAATGCTTCTAAAATAGGCATGAAACCACTTCCTCCTAGCTAGATATCTTAACAAACATCTCGCCTCATTGTCTTACGTTGTTTCATAGATATAATAGTTGATGAGTGAACGTTTGATTAAAACCCTCTTTTCAACTTACCTGTCCAACAGCAAAGGCTATTAAAGGCATTATCAATGTTCGCACGGTTCAGTTTTACATTTCTTTACTTCCATTTACTCGAGATATAGAAGCTGGCCTTGAATTTAGCAACTCAACACGTACGTATTTTTTTAAAATTCTGCCCATTATTTATTATTTATGTCAGTGATGAATGCGCCTGCGCGTCCATCGAGATTCCTAAAGAATAAAAGAAAGAATATCTTGATGGGAAATGAAGACTACTAAGAATCGAGAGAAAAGGTTTATCATTACAACCATTTGCCAAAATCTATCTTCCGTTTCGCGTTAATATTCTAGCATTTTTCTCCCATTCTTTGTTTCGTTCTGTGATTTTCGTCCGATTCTACTTTGTTTCAAATTGTCTTTTCTCGCTGGAGTTTTAACTCTCTTTCTTTCTTTCTTTCTTTCTAGAATTTTCTCTTCTTCCTTTTCATTTTTTTTATTAATTCTCTTTCTTGCCTGGTTCTTCACTTATAATCTCTTAGCATTTTTTATTTCTTCCCTTTATTTATTTACGCTTCTATTTCTTTATTACTTCTTTCTTTTTTCTTTTCTTTTTTCTTCGTCCCTTTCATATTCATTCTTTTTATTCTTTCTTTCTTAATTTGCTCAGTATTTTAGTCAACCAGCCTTTTTTTCTGCCTTCCACCTTCTTTCTTTCTTTTCTTACTTTTCATGCACCATTTCCTATGCCTTCAGACCCAAACATTATAATTTCATCAAGCAATTCGTCTGAATAGATTTTCCTTCCATTAAATGAATCTTGTTCAAGCAGAGTGTGAAAAAGGCTCTGACCAGCGGCCCTTTGACGCCCGCTTGTTAAGTTCACAATAATACACTTGTATTTTCTTTTACTGATCTTCGCCCAAAGTATCAAGACGCAAAATTAATTGACTTCAATGTTAAGTCTTCCTACAATTTCTCTTCTTGCTATGCTTCATTTCTTCCATTCTTGTCATGTTTTGCTTTTTCTTTCTTATTTTTCCTACATGCCTTATTATTATCATTATTATTATTATTCGTTAATTTACTTCCTTTCTTAAAGAGATTCGTTCAATCTTTCTTTTCTTTAAATCTTAACTCATGCTCATTATAATTCTGTGAAATATTTATGGAAGAGTAACAACCGGTACTAAAATACTCTTGGTTTGATTTAATGGTTAGCTATCAAGTCTGGTTGATTATTTGGTTGTACAGTCACCGGTTCAGTATTGACACACCCAAGGGATTAAATCAACCTAATTACCTACATAATCCTTTGTTAAGAAGGGAGTAACATCACAAAAGATTTTACTAAGAACTACGTCTTTAGGGAACAGACTCACATACGGATGCTTCATGGAAAACAACTATCTTAACCGCTTCAAATCTAATTTCAATCGTTATCTATCCGCCATATCCTCGTAATCTCCACTTCTTCCTCTTACATTCATATCACACATCAGTAACCATCTACTTTGATTGGCTCTTGTGGCTTGTACTGGGTGCAGGGGTAAATTATTTTCAGCATATTCTATTTACGCTCCTTTCCCCCTTCCGATATTAAAAACTTTTAAATTTCATTTCCCTCTTTTTTTTTCAACTGACATCAGTTTTTTTTTTCCCAAGACGTAGTGAATCAGAGCGAGTGTAATCTTGCATTAAAAACGTTATTTAAAAATTCAAGTGTTTTACCAAGGCTCGAGAGCCGATGATTTACACTGCAGGAAATACGCAACTACCTCAACCATTACTCATTCTTTAAATCATATTCTTTTTATATATCCTTCGTTTTATGAGTCCCTTATGTAGCGCAGTGTTTATTCAACTATTAGCCAATCTAGTTTATTCAATGCTTCATGTGTTCACCTCATTTGCGCCAGGCTAAACGAGGTAAATATTCTTCATTTCAGACTGAAGCGGGTTTTTTTTTATTTTGCTGGTGATAGATATTCTTCACTTTCCTAAATCTATTTCCCTTTGTTTCTGATTTTCTTTTGGTTTATTTAGCTTTAAAGTTTCGCGTTTGCAGCTCTTTCCTCAAAATCGGTGTAGAACTTTCCTTCCTTTCGACAGTCTCATAACTTTCTGTTTAAGACTGTTTCTTTTCTTCGGTAAACCATTTTCTTCGTTTCTTCATCCAAAACTCTGTTTTCATCTAATATTCATTTTCTTTTTCCTACTAAATACTCGACATATTTTCTTTCTGTTTTTTTTCTTTCTTTTACTGTCTTATTGATTTTTTTTCTTTTTAAGCTTCTCATTTCTCTATTTTCTTTACTTTTTCTGGATGTTTCCTTTCGAAGTCTCTGTTATTGTCTTTCTTACTGATTTTTTGTTTTCTTTATTCTTGTCTTTTATTTTCTTTTTTCCCTCTAGACAATATCTTTTTTTTTTTTCTTTCTTTATTTCTTTCTGTCTTTCTTGCTTGCTTGCTTTCTTTCTAGGCTACCTGTTCTTCCATTTCGCTTTACGGTTTCATAAATTCATTTCAAAGATTTTCCCACATCCTCCTTAAAAGGAGATAACCAAAATTTTCCCCCTCATATTCTAAAGCTTAGATTGAAGAAGCATCTATCAATTTCCAGAGTTCAAGTCAATGGCGTTTTTGTTTCTATTCATTGTAAAGCAATCAGATATCGTGGTCTAGGTTCGAATTTATTTGTGTTTCTTTGTCTAATGAACCAATTTATAGAGTTACTAAGATACGATAGGAAATTTTTGTGTTTAATAGAAACAGAAGTGTTATTCACAATTTCCATCATATGTTTAGAATAAAAACAGATGCGGAGAGAAAATCTTAACTTGGTGGCGCAACTATTTATATATAGTCTAAGTAGGAAACAATCCACATGACCTGAAAATCATGAAACAGACTGTCACCACTCGATTTTCACCACAGCGTCTAATTTTACATTTACATACGTTTTTAACCATAGATATACCATATCTTAAAACTACATGTTTTATATATATATATATATATATCCTTCCATCTATTAACAAGCTTACTGTAAAATTCTTTTGGCTTTGATTCGAAGAACTTACAGATGTTAGTTTTAACCTCTTCCTGTGTTACAAAAGCTGTTTCTTCCAAATGATTCTGTAAGCTACAAAACAAATGGTAGTCTGAAGGAGCAAGATCGGAAGAATAAGGTGGATGAGGAATTTTCTCCCAACCAAGTTCTTCGATCTTTTGTGAAGTGATTCTTGCTGTGTGGCGTCGCGCATTGTCCTGTTGAAACATCACCTCTTTTCGAGTCACTAGAGCAGGGCTTTTTTTCTTCAAAGCTTGTTTCAAACGCTCTAATTGCTGACAGTATATTTGAGCATTAATTCTTGCATTAGGTGGTAAGAATTCAAAGTGGATTATTCCTTGGCGATCCCACCAGATTGAAAGAAGAACCTTTTGTCCATAAAATTCCATTCTCGTCTGTGGTTGGGGTCTTTCCACTTTACCAAGCCACTGTCTACGACGCTTAACATTTCAATAAAAGATCCATTTTTCGTTGCCAGTCACAAGTCTATCCAAAAAAGGTGAAACATGTTGGCGAGAATAGAGAGAAGAGCAGATGTCAACTCGGGATTTGAGTTTGTTTTCTGACAATTCATGAGGCCCCCATTTTCCAAGTTTAGGAACTTTTCCAAGTTGTTGAAGATGACGATGAACAGTTGTATGGTTTGAACTGGGAACCACTGCCAATTCCTCAACTGATAAAGCAGGATTTTCTTCAAGGGCTGCTTCAAGAAGCTTTTCATCAAACTCAACTGGACGTCCGGTTCGATCTTCATCTTCAAGGGTGAAATCTCCACCTCTGAATTTTGCAAACCATCTTCTGCAAGTTCTTTCATTCACACATTCCGCTCCATAAACTGAGTGAATGTTTCTAGCCGCTTCGGCTGCTGAGTTTCCTTTCTGGAACTCATAAAGCATTATGTGCCTCAAATGATTCTTGGGTACTTCCAGGGTTTTAATCAAACAAAATTTAATTTTATTGTTCTCTGTAATAAATTTGATCAGTTTCAATGCATCTAAACATAAAAATAATGTCCAGCTCCATTAGACATTATAAAATACTCTTTAAATTTTGTTCATTTTAACAAAATTTTAAAATTCGGACAGAACTTATGGGATGACCTGATATATATATATATATATATATATATATATATATATATATATATATATATATGTATATATATATATATATATATATATATATATGTGTGTGTGTGTGTGTGTGTGTGTGTTGTATGGATATGAGTTTGTGATTCCGGTTTTTCACGCTTTTGACGATCATTAGAAAATCTGGCTTATTTTTAAAAATTGGATCTATTTATGCTTGTTTGTGTTTATGTTTGATGGTGGAAAGGACAAGTTTCTTCTGTGTTTGTTAGGAGTCAAAAACTCATATCCATACAACTGAATATCTTAGCGCTATCATTGATAACCTTAAGAGTCCATTGATTACATTTTATTTCCCCAGGTAGGTGTTTTTTTCTTGGTTCCTCAGATCACATTTCCAAGCATAAAAATGGTTTTAAATTTACGTATTATTTTTATACGCTTTTGAGGGGTAGATTTAAGTTGATCTAATGTGATAGAGAGAAGTGGAGGAGTAGGACGATATATATAATCGAAAATAGAGAGAGAGAGAGGAACAATTTTAAATTCATTTTTATTACAATACTCAAGAGTAAACGAAGGGGTAATAACCAGACATTGACATATTTAATAAATCAACTGACACGAAAAGAGACAAAGAGAATAAAAGGGGAAATATATAAGAAAGTAAATGTGGATCAGAGGTGGGAGGAAAAAAGTGGGGAATCAAAAAATAAAAGAATAAATTAACATATGTAAGAATATTGCACTTAATTTCTAAAACACAGAGTTTACAATTAAAGCTTGACATTAACGATTACCAACAAAATAAAATAGGATAAATGTAAAATAATATAATGTGAATATAAAATAAACATTAAAAGAAAAAAAAAACTTTAATAAAATGAATTTGAAAATTAGTTACTTATGTGGGAACAATATGGAGAAAATTACTAATTCCCACAATAGTAATATTATTAGAAAATTTTATGCTAATCATTTACAAAATATTTCTACCTGTAATTGCAGGGTAAAAATGAATGCTCAGTGAGAGGATTATGTACGATAGAAAATGTGGGGTATGAAGCCTCGATCTTCATCAAAGAGAATAACAACAACAACAAAAAAATATATATATTTAAATATCTGCTGGGAAATGGAAGCAGCGCCTCTATATCCATCGTCATTCCTACGCTAATAATACCTACTCTGACTAAATACTATTGAGATCTAGTGCAAAACGGCTTCACCCCACAGTTGAAATGGAGAATTATCTCTAGGGCTCGAACTCCTAGAAACTTTAGTGACAGATGTGACCTCTGCATTAAGGAGAAAATCTTAATAATCAAACATAATGAACCTGAATCATCGCAATGAAATTATCTTCAAATGCAGGCACAGACATCGTCTCAAAATAACAAAATACATCTAATATTTGGGACCTATATATATATATATATATATATATATATATATATATATATATATATATGTGTGTATGTATGTATGAGTGTATATATGTGTATATGTATATATATGTGTGTGTGGATGTATAGGTATTGTATATATGTGTGTGTTTATGTACATATATGCAGGAATATACTTGGTTAAATGGGTTATAACTGATCTAGTATTACTATTTCGTCGTTATTACTCTACGGTTATTCTTCTCATTATTATTGTGTTTATTATTATTATTCCTCTCATTGGTAGTTTTATTATTATTACGATATTATAATATTATTATTACTTTTAAATTTTGTTTCATTTCGATATGTTTTTTGATATATATTTTTTCGATATTTTAAATTTTTTAAGTTGTTTTAAATTTAAATTTTAAATTTTAATTTATGAATGCCAAGTGTTTATTGCAAATTTATCAATCTGTGTTTTTGAAATTAAATGTACTATGCCTGTATAATAATGTAATATATTAAATGTGTTGCTGGTAATTTTTTTAAACTGCTGGTATTTTTAATATAAAAAATGTATTTTTATACTTTCATAGTGTTTTGACCCCAGTTTGGTGTCAGCTATTTTGCCTATATAGGGCTCGAACTCCTTGGTATTAGCTATTTTGCCTCTATCTGGAACCCTACTATTCTGGGTCAGGGAACAACAGCAACTGAGGCGATTCGACGGTCTTCAAAAGCTCTTAATCAGAGATCTTGCTTCCGGATGAAGTTTATCGTCGTACCCAGGGCGTTTTATGACGTCTAAAGGACGACACCAAAATGTCCTGTATTTTGTACCGCTTGATAAAAATTAAGAAAAAGTTCTTAATATATTTCGTGTTTTTTGTTAACTCTCCTAAACATTTTTCCTCTGTCCCTCTTGCCTTCAATCTGCCCTGTGGGTATTAGATTTTCAAATCCCTCTTTCTTCATTATGACTTCTAGCAATCGCACCTGTCTCTTCCAGATATTAAGCATAAGCATCCTTTTTGTTTCCATTTTCTCTAAAACTTCGTCGTTGTTTGGTCCATGCTATTCTCACCATCCTTCAGTATAACGATATTTCTGTTCAGTCTTTTCTTCATCTGTGAGGAGATTGTCCAGTATTCACTGCCATATATGAGGACTAATATTACAAAACATTTCAGTACTCTTTTTTTTTGTTTCTGTTACTTCAAATCTCTTATTCCACTGTGAGGAGATTGTCGAGCATTCCCTGTCATATAGAAGGACTGATATTACATAACACTTCTCTTTTCTAACGAATGTTTTCTGTTTCTTAATACTTAACTTCACTTTTGGAAAGCATCTTTCGCTATCCCAATTCGCCTTCGGATTTCGCTGTCACATTATCCATCCTTTGTTAAAACACTTCCTAGATATTTAAATTGTTTGATTCCAACATCTACAAGTTGTAACTTGTATTTTGGTCTGTCCTTTGTGCTATCTATTCTGTCTATGTATTCTGTCTTCTAGCAATTGAGGTTTAGTAGATTTGTAGATGTGAAGGATGGAATCAGACAAGAAAAACCTTCTGTTGCGGAAAGAGAACCAACTTTCCTTGCAGTAGACGCAGCTATTGATTCAATGCAGTTATTCCACATCAGGCATGAAAAAAATTAAAACATAATCATATTTATATGATAAAATTTGTGAAATTCAACTTTTAATTGTTTTTAT